ACTACGGTTCTATGAATCCCGGACGACCAGCAGAGATGCTTTGTCACTCAGAATACTTGCATTTCGTGAGAAGATTCTGTTGGAACAGAGCCTCGGATAACTTCATGCTATACTGCCTCTGATTGTTCGTCCAATATGTCACAGGTGTGACTCTGTTGATATTATTGCTCGAACAGCGCATACGCCTCTGGCCCTCTGGCCATCATCCGGACTTCATAAAACCATAGTTGCATACGTAACTTTTGTTTTACGTATGCAAATATTAAACAGTTCATCGTGTTTTACATTCAGTGAAATTTTCTGCATTTTATTATTAATTGTTCATATTTCAGATTTAACCTGCATCCTGTTGGCTTCAGCTCACATCTTTTATTCTTTATTCAGATTGATGGGCTGCAGTTTGTCAGAGATCAGCTGTTCTTCTCTGGCCTCAGCTCTAAAGTCCAACCAACATCTGACTGAACTGGACCTGAGCTACAACATCCTGACGGATTCTGGAGTGAAGGAGCTCTGTGGTTTTCTACAGAATCCTCAGTGCAGAATACAACGATTAATGTAAGAAACCATGTTTCAGTCTGGATCTAATGTTTCTGATGTGAAAGTTGTGTTTGCCATTAAACTGCAGACAGATGGCTGATATTCTACTGATCCACTCTGAATTCATGGCAAGTCGGTTTTTTCTTCTATGGTTTGATCCAGTTAAAGTTTCTCTGTATTATAAAAGCACAAGCAGTTCCTCCTCCACCATCACATTCAACCAATCACAGCCTTCATTTCACAGACACCAACCACACCTGCAGAGAGAAGGTCAAAGGTCAGATTGGAGAATAAAGGCTGATAAAACTCTGATATTAGGATCATTAAATGTCTTAATATCCACCAAAATAATCAGATATAAAATCTGATAAAATGTCTTTATGTCCAAGACAGACTGAGGCTTAATTTACTAAAATAATGATGTTCATCCACATCTCTGACCTTCTGATCATAAATGATCAATAAACCATCATTGATAAAACCACAAACTTTATTAACTTGTAAAGATGAACAGATGTAGAAACATCAGGAATCAGATTGATATTTAAAATGAATCTGAAATGAAATATTAGAGTTTTAATTCCCGACCAGAACCACTGAAATATTCTAACAACACGTCATAATAACATGTTCTGGTTCTGCTGGTTTGGACTCTATAAACCAGTTTTACTGGATCAAATATTAAACATCAGTTCATCATGTTTCACTTTTACATTCAGTGAAATTAATTTTCTACATTTTATTATTAATTTGTTGATATTTCAGTTTTAACCCATCCTGTTGGCTTCAGCTCACATCTTTTATTCTTTATTCAGGTTGATCAGCTGCAGGTTGTCAGAGATCAGCTGTTCTTCTCTGGTCTCAGCTCTGACCTTTAACCCCTCCCATCTGACTGAACTGGACCTGAGAGGAAACAACCTGAAAGATTCAGACATTCAGCAGTTGAAGCGTTTTGTAAAATATGTTCAGTAAGTAAATGTTTCATTGAGTCCAGCTGCTGTCAGCATCTTGAACTAAACCAGTTCCTATCAGAGCAAAGCTCCAGTGTTCCCAGTAAAGCTGCAGCTTCTCAGTGGGAGGAGAATGGTTCAGGCTTCCTGATTGGACACAGAGACAGCAATCAGCCAATCAGAGCAGCAGCAGCTTGCTGTGTTCCTGTGTTTGTGTTGCTGTGTCCGTGTCTCCAGGAAGTCCAGCTGGACTCCAGCGTCCAGCCGTCCAACATGTCTAGAGACAGTGGTCCTCATTCATCAACCTGTGGCAGCAGCAGATCTGATCTCAGACCTGCTTGTTCTCTCAGTTCAACAGGAAACAACTGATCAGGTTGATGTTGGTCACAGCTCTGAGATCAGTCTGACTGCAGCCTGGAAACCACTGGCTCTGATTTCACAAACCATCATTCATTTAGTCAGCAGCTGCTCTTTCTGCCCAAGTCCACTCCTCCCATCTGGACATGTGTCCTCCTGTCCTCAGTCTCATCAGATGTGTTCAGGGACAGCCTCCATGTTGGACAGTCAGCTGATGTTCCAGCAGCAGATGAGATGTTCATCAGCAGCAGTTTGTGTCTAAATGCAGCAGCAGCTGCAGCAGTGAAGCCTTCAGACTCTCAGCAGTTTGTTTCCACTGTGGACTTGAGTGGAACCTGCAGAGGAAGCAGACTGGATGCTGAAAGTGTGTGTAGGTGTGTGAGCTTGGAGCTCAGTGTGTTCACTGCAACACGTTAAGATGAGAGCTGAAAGGAAGCTGCTCTGATCAGGACTGAAGGCCCTGCTGCTGTTTCTACTGGATGTGCTGCGTCACTGACTGCTGCTGGAGAGAAGCTGGAAACTCACTGATCTGATCTGTGCGTCTTGCTTCTCTCTGCAGGTTCTGATGATCTGTGTAAAGAAGAGAATCGTCTCTGTTTCCTGCTGATCCTCAGATATTACTTTTTTTTCCCTTTGATTTGTTTTGAGCTTTTAACCAAGTAATATGAAATAAAGTCCAATTCAATAGTTTCTTGGCTGCATTTTGCTCTATCTTCATGTGGTTCCTGGATGTTTTTCTATTTGAGATATTTTCTCTTCATTCTTGTGAAGCTCTGCTGACTTTATCTGCTGCTGCTGCAAACAGCTCAGTGAGTCAGTGATGTTTTCTTCAGTTAGAGCAGGGGTGCTCAAGTCCAGTCCTGGAGAGCTACCATCCTGCAACTATCAGATGCATCCCTGCTCCAACACACCTGAATCAAATGAATGACTCGTTACCAGGCCTGTTCATAGCTGAGCCTGGTCTACTGGAGTGAGGCTGCAACCAGAAGTTGCAGGACGGTAGCTCTCCAGGACTGGACTTGAGCTCCCCTGAGTTAGAGGAAGAATATTTTCTTGATTTGAATGAAAAATTTTTTCTCTTTCTGTCCATGCCCCTATAGCCTCAAATCATGCCTTTCCACCATCTCTCACAGATTGTATCTTCCTTTCATGGCAGAGAATAGGAATTGCAACTTTTCAGGATATGTATATTGATAATACTTTTGCCTCATTTCAACAAATTTCTGAGAAGGTTGATATCCCACGCCACCAATTTTTTAAATACTTGCAAGTACGCAGCTTTGTCCGCTCTACCTATTCAAATTTTCCAACCCCAGGGATTCACCGTTAGTTTTCTAAAACCTACTGCCAAATTGAAAGGAGCCATATCTTTTATTTATAATCAAATTACGCTTCTACGCCCTCAATCTCTGAACTCCTTTAAATCACGTTGGGAGGAAGACCTCGGACAGGCCATTTCAGAGGATCTCTGGACACACATTCTGTCGCTAGAGCATAAATCATCTATTTGTGCCAGACATAATCACCTTCAATGCAAACTTGTATATCGCAGCATTACACTAAAGCACAGCTAGCCAAGTTTTACAACAATGTCTCTCCTGCCTGTGATAGATGCCAACGTTCTCCAGCCAATCTGATCCACACTATTTGGTTTTGTCCTCAACTTTCCAACTATTGGTCCAAAGTTTTTGCTTTCCTGTCAGACATTTTTGACAAGAAATTGCAGCTTGACCCATTGACTGCTTTGTTTGGAGTTGCTCCTCCTTTCAGAAATCTTCTTTAGCATTTCTGACCTTTTTGGCAAGGAGAGTGATTATAATAAAATGGAAGTCACCTCAACCTCCATCATATGTCCACTGGCTTCGAGATACGTTGTATTTCATTAAACTTGAGAAAATTCGGTTTACTTTAAGAGGCTCTTCTACAAGATTTTTGGATTTGTGGAGCCCCCTGTTAGGAACCCTTACAGAGATTCATTTCTCTAATGTCCCTGAATGATGAGGTGGTACGTATGTAGCTGAGGTTTATCATTTTTACCTATGTCTCTTTTTCTTCTATCTTCCTTCTCTAGTTTGACTGATATACTGACTCTAGTATCCCCTGCACCAGTGTTTTTTTATTTATTTTATTATTGATGTATCTGTTTCTATTTACTCTGATCTGATCCACTTGATGTATTTCATGTCTGTATATATGTGGGTATGTTTGGGTTCATTCTAGCCCATTAGGTTTGTAGGTTAAAGGTACATTAACTGTGTAACTATTGTACTGCCTTCACATTGTACCTCACGTTAAAACATAAATAAAGTTTTGAAGAAGAAGAATGAATATTTTTATTTCACACTCTCTCAAGGTTAAATCTAAAACATCCTAGGAGTCAAATAATCTTTGTAACCTCATCAACCAGCTGACATGATTCTCATATCATCATTAGATATGATGCATGAAGCATTACTTTTTTATAGGTTCATGATGTCAAATGAGTTCAGTTGCAGTGATTTAATTATCTAGCAATAATATTATATTATTATCTAGCAATAATATTATATTATTGCTAGATAATAAAGGAATCACTGATGAAATTGATGAACAATTGTGCTAATCACAGTTAACTCTTAATCTGCCAATGGTGCAAATACATTATATTCAGAGTAAAACTCAATCTTTAGTTAATAATTCAATAAAACCAAAACATTCAGCAACACTTTGCTTTATTTGCCTTTAGTTGTTGCTTCTCTCTCTGTTCTGTTCAAAACTGGACAAGTTAGATTTTATTCTTATTTTATTCCATCTTCAAGTGGAATATTTTTATCTGTAAGACTACAACATACAAATAGTATAACACAACCGCTTTTATTTTTAAAAACGCCCCCTTAAGAAAAAATTATGATAAAACCAAGATGAAGAAAGTTTCATTTCTATATCCAGTAAATATGTTTGCACTTTGTAATTCAGATTGAATAAAAATTTACCTTCCAATTATGTGTAGAATCCAAACAAACTTGGAAAAACCTACAAGTTAGAGGAATCAGTTCAAATTTGATGTATAAACTGTAATCTGGATGTTGTTTTTATGTGAGCATTTTAAGTTTTTGTTGTATCTTGACAAATCTGAAAATCTACAAACGTTTCTGCAAGAGCAAACCATCAATCCTGTTACTTCCAAACAAAGAAATCCACTTTATTTTACTTCACTTTCCCTCATTTTTCAAGATATTTAAGAACAAAACGTTAAACTCATTTCGTCCAACATTTCAACTTCAACATGCAAATTAGTGAGCTGCAGCTGCAGCAGCAGCTGCAGCAGCAGCAGCTGGTGATGAAGTCCTCAAACATTTCAATCATAACTGAAAACAAAAATGACCAAATCCTGTGGATGTGATGTGAATATTCTGAAAACACTCAGCATCAAACATCCCAGTGATTTCAGGAATCTGTTCTTGTCTTAATGTTCAGTCATGTTAATGTGACTCGATCTGCTTGTTGCTCGTTTCTCTCCAGTTTCCACAATCATAGACTTTCCTCCATCCAGCAGAACTACATCCCTGCTCTCTCTCTGGTCTCAGGTCCAAAGAAAACTGTCCACCTGTCCTGATTTATGACAGCTGCTTCATGTCGTACATGGGAACCTCGGACTCGGCCGCCTTGGCCTGGTGGTCAGCCGGCCGGGCTGCTCCTGGGCTGCTCTTCCGGCCTTTAGGAGGAGGAACTGGAACGGCGGCCTCCGCAGCTCCCTCCGCTCCTTCCTGACCCTCAGCCACAGTCCTTTCTTTCTTCAGGTTCAGCTTCGCTGGGACGGTCTTGGTGAAGGTCTCCTTCAGCTTCTCACCTGATTGGCGGATCTTCTCGCGCCTTTCAGCCGTTACGATTCGCTCGCCGAGTTTGTTGACTTTGGTGCCCAGGTTCTCTCGGGTCTTGCTCATGTTCTCCTTGGAGAAGGTGGTTTTGAAGCTCTCGATGCGTGTCAAGCCTGTCTTCTTCATCCGGCCGGCTGATGAGGTGTCTGCTTCCTCCACAACCATGTACTCTTCGTCCGACTCTGGAGGAAGATCAAACTTGTCTGGTTCCACCTCAGGTCTTGCCGCAGCGCCGCCGCTGGACTCTGCCGGCTCGTTACCTGGTGTGACAGCTTTGACTTCCTGGTCCCTGAGAAACAGAAATATCAATATCAGCATCTAGATGTTGCAGGACAAACCTTTGCACTGACTTTCTTTCTCAGACAGTTTAATAATGACGTCGGGTTTAAATCTGTCGCTGGTCACAATGTGTCATCCAGACTGGAGGGGTCAGTGCAGGTCTTGGTCCTGCATCCAGAAATAAAGCAGCACCTGTTTGTGCAGCTCAGCGCTGAGCTGCAGGAAGCTAAACATATCCGTGAGCTGCAGCTTCCATGTCCAGCTGCATCACAACGTGCAACTGGTCAGGTTTCAGGAAATGTTGAATGAGCAGAAACTGATTCATGATTAATCAGACTTCACTCATTCATACCATGAGAGGAAAGGGAATCTAACTGGTGGCAAGTAAACAGACTAAATGTTTGGATCAACCGTAGAAGTTAACGTCACAATGACATTTCTGATCCGAAACAATCCAACAAAAATCCCTATTTATAAATAAATATGTAACTAAACAATTGATGGAGCCAAATGGACAAAATAAACTTTCAAGGCCATAAATGTTCTGATAACCAGCTGACCTGTCAGAAAACCCAGAACCCACAGATAATAAACATCTGTTCTGTGATTCCAGGAACGTGAAGTTTCTTTAAGTCTTACTGGAATAATGATGACATGAATCGTCATAAACCAGTAAATTGGAATCATGTTAATGGAGAATCAACATCTTTGACTGGTGCCACAAGACACCTGATAGGCTGACATTTCCCGGCCTTAGTCAGGATGCATGCCGGCCATAACTGAGCTGCACAGTAAGTGAACACGTAGCTTAAGCTGCTAACAAGCTGCCAGCTAGCAAAGTCAGGAATCTTCACCTGGACGACTGGTTACTGTTAGATTATTGTCCAAAGAAAAGCAACAATAAGTTGCATCATAAAGGAAACTAAATTATGAACTAAGGTTTAGTCAAGAACAATGAAACTTGCAGCATGGTGTTCGCCGCCTGCGATGAAACTTCAGACTTAAATAACCTCAGTCATTTAACTCAGACAATCACCTTGATAAATCTATATCAATTCATTTTACTCTAAGCAAATGCATAACATGTTTCACTGATCAGTTCAACTTCTATCTGCCATCAGAGCAAAATGAAAAGAACCGATTGGCCAGAGATTAGCAGGGATGAGCAGAGCTCTATATTAGGAGATGCTGGAGGCTCCGACTCAGAATAACTCGGACCGTCAGCTCTCAGCTGGCACAGTCAGTTATATCACAGCAGCTCTGGGGCTCAACACATGCTGCTCTCTGTCTCAACAGTAACTTTGGGACGTTTATATTTGGCTAACAACTCCTTCCTTCAGGTCTGAGACATGATGGAGGGATGCAGCCAAGTCTGAATATCAAATGGTTTTTCTGTAGGTCTTACTTTACATGCATGTCTGGATTTGAGCTTTTTTCCATGGGAACATCTTAATTAAAGGAAAAACAAAGTAATTATAGAAACGTTTCTTGGAGCTATTGCTGAATATTGTGCAGGTAATTGTGTCAGTACGACATCCAAACGTCGCACTGATGTTATTTTCATTCAGAGCTGCAACATCCGTCCAAAGAATGGTTTCAAAATGTAACTGATTGATTTAAAGCAGCCAAAAAGTTTTATTTCTCTAATAAACTCATGAACAGCTCAGATCTGAGCAGCAGAACTAAATAACCGAGTCGCCGTCATGTTGGCAGCTGCTGACTGAGAAGAAGTCAAATGAGGCCTGATGACGTTTGTCCTTAAACATTCATATTAAATAAACTCAGATTAAAAGACTTAAAGCAAAGACAAATTTCCCCCAAACTTTTTCTAAAAGTCTGGAGAGAATCTGGAGATATTTAATGAAATTCTGATGAAACAAACTTTGTCTTTCACAGAGAGGAAAATCCTTCTGTATGTCACTGATATGAATTATTCTCCTCTTGTTAACATGATTAATATAATCTTCTCATTAGAACTGAACAAATTTGTGTTTTAACAGGTTTGACCTTCTGCTGTGTTTCTAAAAGCAGTTTGAATCAGATGTGAAACTTTTCTTTGCCTCTGAGTCGGTTCAGTGTTAGAACAGTAACTGGCTGATCAATCCACCCATCAGCTGATTGATCCGATCAGCTGATTGATCCGAGCTGATTGATCCGATCAGCTGATTGATCCGATCAGCTGATTGATCCGATCAGCTGATGCTCCAAACGTTTCCTGTGAAAACTCGTCTAATTCGCTACGTTGGGACTGTTGGTGCAGATGTAGCCAGTCTCTTGCTCTCGGTGTTTTCCATGCGGCTGACATTAAGATCGTTACCCAATGCAATCATTACTTTGCTAAACAGAATTTCAGAAGTTTTTCCAGAGCCAATGAAGCATCAGGATGTCCAAACAGTTGAAATGTTGGTCCAGTGAGCCTCACCTGGTAAATGACCACCCTGAACTTGTTCTTGGCGAGCAGGTCTCCCTGTGTGGCCTCCACCTTCTTCACCCTGAGGTTCTGGTTCTCCACCCGCACCCTGACGTCCTTGATGTGGCAGCTGACCTTGCGGGTCTTCTCCAGCAGCCGGCTGACCGTGGAGCTGGTGTTTGCGTGATCGTTGGTGAGTTTGACGACGTCGGCCTGGATGCTTTTCACTGTGTTCTCCAGCTCCAGCTGACGCTCCTCCATGCGCTGCTGTGTGGCCTGAACGTTGTCCATGAGGCCCGCCACGCGCTCCAGCAGCGCCATGACGCCGCCGGCATCATCTCCACCTCCGGGTGGCAAGACCGCTTTGTCCGTCATTCTTGCTGCTCGCTGGTTTTTCAACGACCTGGTCAGTCGGTCGCTTGAATTCAATGATCCGAATGGAAATGAAGAAGAGATGAAGGGAGATGAAAGCCCTGCAGAATCTGTGAAAGTCAGTGGTGATAAAGAACCAAGAACCACAGCATGAGGGTCGAGGTGTTGGGATCCAGTAGAGGAGAGACAGCGAGAAGGACCAGATCAAACTCTGCAGCTGGAGGCTGACCCTGATGGTGTCAAGTTAATGACTCCACCCTGTTGGACCTGGCAGGGAGGAGCTGGAGGAACCCGATCCAACGAAACACCAACAGGATGAAGGAGCTTTACTGACATCAACGTTCAAAATATATTTGTAGATTTCAAAGAAACAAGACACAAATATTGATCAGTAATTATCTTATTGATCTGTATTGATCTTACAGCAAGTTTTTATTGGCATAAAGACTAAAATGTTGCAACGTCTCAGAGAAGCAGACAGAATGTTTGTTCAGACCTGTGACTGAAAAAGACTTGAATGTTTCCCAGTTTCTCTCTTTTCTCCTCTGCTAAAAATACTGCAGACGGAAAATGACTCACCAAGCCCAGCATGTCTCCTCCACCATCCAACCACCATCCAACCACCATCCAACCATCATCCCACCATCCAACCATCATCCAACCACCATCCAACCACCATCCAACCACCATCCAACCATCCAACCACCATCCAACCACCATCCAACCATCCAACCACCATCCAACCATCATCCAACCATCATCCAACCAACCACCACCATCCAACCACCATCCAACCACCATCCAACCACCATCCAACCACCATCCAACCATCCAACCACCATCCAACCATCATCCAACCATCATCCAACCATCATCCAACCACCATCCAACCACCATCCAACCACCATCCAACCATCCAACCACCATCCAACCACCATCCAACCATCATCCAACCACCATCCAACCATCATCCAACCATCCAACCACCATCCAACCACCATCCAACCATCCAACCACCATCCAACCACCATCCAACCATCATCCAACCACCATCCAACCACCATCCAACCACCATCCAACCATCATCCAACCATCATCCAACCACCATCCAACCATCATCCATCCACCATCCAACCATCCTCCAACCACCATCCAACCATCATCCAACCACCATCCAACCATCATCCAACCACCATCCAACCATCATCCAACCACCATCCAACCATCATCCAACCATCATCCAACCACCATCCAACCATCATCCAACCATCCAACCACCATCCAACCACCATCCAACCATCCAACCACCATCCAACCACCATCCAACCATCCCAACCACCATCCAACCATCATCCAACCATCCAACCACATCCAACCACCATCCAACCATCCAACCACCATCCAACCATCATCCAACCATCCAACCACCATCCAACCACCATCCAACCATCCACCACCATCCAACCACCATCCAACCATCATCCAACCACCATCCAACCACCATCCAACCATCCAACCACCATCCAACCACCATCCAAACATCATCCATCCACCATCCAACCACCATCCAAACATCATCCATCCACCATCCAAACATCATCCATCCACCATCCAAACATCCAACCATCATCCAACCATCCAACCACCATCCAACCACCATCCAAACATCATCCATCCACCATCCAACCACCATCCAACCACCATCCAAACATCATCCATCCACCATCCAACCACCATCCAACCACCATCCAACCATCATCCAACCATCCAACCACCATCCAACCACCATCCAAACATCATCCATCCACCATCCAAACATCATCCATGAACCATCCAACCACCATCCAACCACCATCCAACCACCATCCAACCACCTCCATCCACCATCCAACCACCATCCAACCACCATCCAACCATCCAACCACCATCCAACCACCATCCAACCATCCATCCACCATCCAACCACCATCCAACCACCATCCAACCATCCAACCACCATCCAACCACCATCCAACCACCATCCATCCACCATCCAACCATCATCCAACCACCATCCAACCACCATCCAACCACATCCAACCACCATCCAACCACCATCCAACCACCATCCATCCACCATCCAACCATCATCCAACCATCATCCAACCACCATCCAACCATCATCCAACCACCATCCAACCATCATCCAACCATCCAACCACCATCCAACCATCATCCAACCACCATCCAAACATCATCCATCCACCATCCAAACATCATCCATCCACCATCCAACCACCATCCAACCATCATCCAACCACCATCCAACCACCATCCAACCATCCCAACCATCCAACCACCATCCAACCACCATCCAACCATCCAACCATCATCCAACCATCATCCAACCATCATCCAACCACCATCCAACCACCATCCAAACATCATCCATCCACCATCCAACCACCATCCAACCACCATCCAAACATCATCCATCCACCATCCAAACATCATCCATCCACCATCCAACCACCATCCAACCACCATCCAACCATCATCCAACCATCCAACCACCATCCAACCACCATCCAAACATCATCCATCCACCATCCAAACATCATCCATCCACCATCCAACCACCATCCAACCACCATCCAACCACCATCCATCCACCATCCAACCATCATCCAACCACCATCCAACCACCATCCAACCACCATCCAACCATCCAACCACCATCCAACCACCATCCAACCACCATCCATCCACATCCAACCATCCAACCACCATCCAACCACCATCCAACCATCCAACCACCATCCAACCATCAGCCAACCATCATCCAACCACCATCCAACCATCATCCAACCATCCAACCACCATCCAACCATCCAACCATCATCCAACCATCATCCAACCACCATCCAACCATCCAACCACCATCCAACCACCATCCAACCATCATCCAACCATCCAACCACCATCCAACCATCCAACCATCATCCAACCATCATCCAACCATCCAACCATCCAACCACCATCCAACCACCATCCAACCATCATCCAACCATCCAACCACCATCCAACCACCATCCAACCACCATCCAACCATCATCCAACCATCATCCAACCATCATCCAACCATCCAACCACCATCCAACCACCATCCAAACATCATCCATCCACCATCCAACCACCATCCAACCACCATCCAAACATCATCCAACCACCATCCAAACATCATCCATCCACCATCCAAACATCCAACCACCATCCAACCATCATCCAAACATCATCAACCACCATCCAAACATCATCCATCCACCATCCAACCACCATCCAACCACCATCCAACCATCCAACCACCATCCAAACATCATCCAACCATCCAACCACCATCCAACCATCCAACCACCATCCATCCATCCATCCATCCATCATCCAACCATCCAACCACCATCCAAACATCATCCAACCATCCAACCACCATCCAACCATCATCCAACCACCATCCAACCACCATCCAACCATCCAACCACCATCCAACCATCCAAACATCATCCATCCACCATCCAACCACCATCCAAACATCATCCAACCATCCAACCACCCATCCAACCATCCAACCATCCATCCATCCATCCATCATCCATCCATCCATCATCCAACCATCCAACCACCATCCAAACATCATCCAACCATCCAACCACCATCCAACCATCATCCAACCACCATCCAACCACCATCCAACCATCCAACCACCATCCAACCACCATCCAAACATCATCCATCCACCATCCAACCACCATCCAAACATCATCCATCCACCATCCAAACATCATCCATCCACCATCCAACCACCATCCAACCACCATCCAACCATCATCCAACCATCCAACCACCATCCAACCACCATCCAACCACCATCCAACTATCATCCAACCATCATCCAACCATCATCCAACCATCCAACCACCATCCAACCACCATCCAAACATCATCCATCCACCATCCAACCACCATCCAACCACCATCCAAACATCATCCATCCACCATCCAAACATCATCCATCCACCATCCAACCACCATCCAACCACCATCCAACCATCATCCAACCATCCAACCACCATCCAACCACCATCCAAACATCATCCATCCACCATCCTAACATCATCCATCCACCATCCAACCACCATCCAACCACCATCCAACCATCATCCAACCATCCAACCACCATCCAACCACCATCCAAACATCATCCATCCCATCCAAACATCATCCATCCACCATCCAACCACCATCCAACCACCATCCAACCACCATCCATCCACCATCCAACCACCATCCAACCATCCAACCACCATCCAACCACCATCCAACCACCATCCATCCACCATCCAACCACCATCCAACCACCATCCAACCATCCAACCACCATCCAACCACCATCCAACCACCATCCATCCACCATCCAACCATCATCCAACCACCATCCAACCACCATCCAACCACATCCAACCATCATCCAACCACCATCCAACCACCATCCAACCCACCATCCAACCACCATCCAACCATCCAACCACCATCCAACCATCATCCAACCATCATCCAACCATCATCCAACCACCATCCAACCACCATCCAACCACCATCCAACCATCATCCAACCATCCAACCACATCCAACCACCATCCAACCACCATCCAAACATCCAACCATCATCCAACCATCCAACCACCATCCAACCACCATCCAACCACCATCCAACCACCATCCAACCATCATCCAACCACCATCCAACCACCATCCAACCACCATCCAACCATCATCCAACCATCATCCAACCACCATCCAACCATCATCCATCCACCATCCAACCATCCTCCAACCCCATCCAACATCCAACCACCATCCAACCATCATCCAACCACCATCCAACCATCATCCAACCACCATCCAACCATCATCCAACCATCATCCAACCACCATCCAACCATCATCCAACCATCCAACCACCATCCAACCACCATCCAACCATCCAACCACCATCCAACCACCATCCAACCATCCAACCACCATCCAACCATCATCCAACCATCCAACCACCATCCAACCACCATCCAACCATCCAACCACATCCAACCATCATCCAACCATCCAACCACCATCCAACCACCATCCAACCATCCCACACCATCCAACCACCATCCAACCATCATCCAACCACCATCCAACCACCATCCAAC